CCCCCCGGCCCAGCCTCTCCTTCTCTGGCCGCTTTCCACCTCGCGCTGCCCTCCCGCGTGGGCCAGCCCCGGGCAGCACCCCACAAGGGCATGGCCTCCGGACCTCCGACTGCGTGGGAGCCCGCTCTCCTCGCACAGCTGGTGGTTCCGTGCTGCCCTTTGCAGGCCAACAATCACTCTTGGAGAGGCGTGGAGGAGCCCCAGGTCCCTGTGCCTTCGGAGGCCCCCAGACAGACAGGGACAGGGACAGGGAGGAAGCTGCAACCCACCTCCTGGGTCTAACTTCGGTCAGGATGACGTGAAGGGAAGCACACTGATTTGGAGCGGGCTACTGAACTCCCTGCCCTGTCTGTGTTGTCCGAGCTCAGCAGGGCCCGCGGACAAGCCGCCCCCCAGAAAGGCTCTGGGAACTTGCGGGTGCAGTCGCGGGCAGGGAGGGGGCAGTAAATGAGGCAGGGATTCTAGTGAAGAGCTCTGCGAGAAGAGCACAGGGGGTCGTATCACCTCAAAGGATTCCCTGCCCTGCCTCTGAGGTGGAGTCAAGGAAGGCTTCCTGGAGGAGGCAATATCTTAAGGAAGGTAAGTCCTACCAAGGAACACGAATGAACTCCCTGTGAGTGTGTGCTATGTCCATGGATGTGATGTGTCTGTGGTGTGTGTGGTGGGCATGGAAGGCATGCACTCTGGTGGTGGGCATGGCAGGAGCAAAGCTGTCAAGGTGTGGGGCAGTTTGGCGAGGTCCAGAGCAGTCAGAAAAGAGGTGGCAGCAAGTGGGTGAGCCAGATTGTGGGCGGCCAGAAGGCCTGGCGAAGCAGGCAGCTCTTTCTGCGCAGGTGCTGACACTGGATGCTGTGGGATTTGGACCTTAGGGAGCTCACCCCGACTACACAAGGGATGGGGATTCTGGACCACTGAGAAGCAGGTCGGCAGAGCTGTGCTGCGCGTCACCATCACCACGGACACTGCATAGCTCTGTCTGCCAGGCGCTCCTCCAGCCCTTCCCTTAGGTATGTTCTCCTTTCACCCTCAGGACAATGCGACAAGGCAGGCTTTATTATCATTCCATTTTACAGATGAGGAGACTGAGGCACAGAGAGAGAATGAAACTAGATGTTTATGGCTAAAGCAGGATTTGAACCCCGGCAGTGGATTCAAAGCTCAGAAAGGCTGAGTGAGGGGTTGAGGGACTGGGGCGGGGGTCATTGGAAGCCATTCTGTCCCCAGGGGGCCTCTTTGTAGCTAAGTGACCCTGGGCAAGGGGACAGAGGAGAAGGGGCTGAGCAGCCGTCTGGGGAGAAGCTGCTGCGTTTGGCCTAGCTGCGGGCCTCGGTGCAGGGT